AAGGCTTCACTCCCACCCTCCCACAAACTCTTGATCCGCGCTATCTTCCCTGCCAGCTCCTTCTTCGGGCTCTCGTTCGTGACCGCTGCAGCGCGACTGTCGAGCCAGATCAGTTCCATGATACGGCCCATATCAGCCGAGTGCCAAAACATATTCCCCGTCATCAGGCAGCTGTCGAGAGAGTACGGACTGTGTAGCGTCCCCGATGGCTGGACCAGCGTGTCTCCAGGACGAATCAACACCTGGAATGGAGTGTCCAGCTCCTCCAGCCCAACCCACCGCTCCAACCTTTCCCGTGACATCCAGGGCCACGTCGGCCACAGTTTCCGCCCTTCTTCGGCGGGGATGACGGTGACCACACCGTGGACGTCGATGTGCTTCGACGAGAATACGCCGGCAGAGCCAAGGAGCTGGAAGGGAGTGCCGTTGCTCAGGTCCCGTGGGTCGCTGCGACTGTCCTTTCCAGACGTTTCGTCCTCGGTCACGAAGTTTAGGACATTGTATCCGGGAACGTCCCGGATGAACGGCTCTGTGCCGATGTCCCTACCGGGTCGGAGGTCGAGGCAGTTGAGGAACGTTTCCTCGTCGTTGAAGATGCGCTTGAAGTGCGCAAACTCGAACTGAGCCGGGTATGTGTATTTCTCGTCCGATGGAGGCAAACGGAAGTCGTGGCACTCGATCACTCTGAACGTGCTGAGAAGTCGGAAGGCCTGTTCCATGGTTTCGGCAGGCCTCGTTTGACCGCCTTTTAGCTCGTTTGGCACCAGGATGGGCAGCCGGAGCGGTGCCTCGCGGAGCAGCTCCGTGCACTGCTCCGCAGTGGCGAAGATGAAGGTGCCACATTCGAAGGTATCGCCGGCCGCCACTCTCTCGCGGTACTCCCACAGCGTACAAGGGCTAAGGACCCTGACTCTCCGAAATTCCTCCATATAGGTCGGAAGTTCCCTAGCGAAACGGGATTCCTCCTCACCGTATTGCTCGAGGTGCATTTGCATGTTGCGAATGGCTTTTTTGTGGGTGGCTATCATGGACGGGACGTATGTCTGAAGAAGGCCTTCTACCAAGTCACGGGATCCGACGCCAGGGTCGGAAAACTCGCTACTAGGCGCGAGAGTAGTTTCGGCGTCGGGATCACCTTCTGCTGGCTCGTCAGCAAGGTCGTCTTCTCCACTGGTACCGTCGGTCTCGGCGCCTCTTGCGTCCTTCGCGGTGGACAGGTGCTCAGGGTGCTTATTCTGGTAATGTTTGCGTCGGCTGGTGACGGCGAAATCCTTCTGACAGTAGGGACAGGTGAACCTTGCACCTGTGGTAGACTTGATGTTCTTTATCGGACCCTGCAGTCCATGTCCTCGCAGATGGGCGGTCCAGTTGTTCCTTGAAACCACCTTATCGTCGCAGTAGGGGCATTGAACATAAGTTTTCTTATCCCCGGGAACCATGAAGCTTCGAGGTGGGTCGTAGGACTGGAAGTTGATCTGGCGCAGCCTTTTCGGCCGGCCGGACCGAGGAACCTCGATGCGGTCGAGATGTTGTCTGGGTTCGCCATCCGCATTCTGCCTTTCCAAGGTAGCCGACCTAGGCATATGCCCTCGGCTTCCTTCCTGACCAGCACCAGGCGCGGGCGATGCTGTCACGAACGCATCGTCCTCTTCCTGCGAGACCAGCACG